GCCGCCGCCGCCGCCACCACCGGGGAGCTGAGGGGGCGCGGCCTGGGCCCCACCCGGCTTCGGCTCCGCCCCCAGCGCGGACCCCCAAGGAGGGCGGGGCACCAGCGACGCCTCCCTCGGCGATCGCGGTCACCCCTTCGCCGCGGCCACCCCCAGGGGCACTTCCTTTCCTTTAAAGGATGCTGGGACAGCCCCAAAAACCCTCACCCACCGCAAACTAGCCCCGCCCCACGGAGCCGCCTCCACCACGAGGCCCTCCTGGAATGCCCCACTGCTCTGAGGCCGCCACCCTCTTCCTATCTGCCACTCTGACCTCAAGCCAACCTGCGGTGTTGTGGATTCCACTCTTAGGGACCCTACAGGACAGAGTAGCGCTTCCTTGACTGCAGTTGATGCCTCTGAATTGTGGTGGTAGAACTGAGTACCCCATGGTCTGCTGAAAGGACAGACAGGGATTGGAAAAGGTGCTGCCAGAGTGCTCCTTGGACGCAAGGATGGCGAAGCTTACATACTCTGGGCATGTGAGGAGAGGCCATACCTTGGAAAGGGACATCATGCTTGGGAAGGTGGGGGGGGGGCAGCAAAGAAGACCCTCATCGAGATGGATTGTCGCAATGACTGTAGCAACATGCTACATGTATGTCAGGTGATGAGGAGGGCGCAGGAGAGGACAGGTCTGTTCTCTAGGTCGCCATGGGTCGGACTTGACTGGACCTGGATGGCCCCCAATAGCAACAACAGGTCTTGCTGAAGTAGAGGAACCTTTCTCCCGTGAAACCTGCTGGGCTCGAACTCAGACCTCTCAGAATACAGCGGAAAGTTTAACCACTGCACCACCAGGACTCCTCCTGGGGCTAGTTGTTGTTTGTTGTTATGTGCCATCGAGTCACCTCTGACCAGTAGTGACCCCATGCACAGCAGCTCTAAAGCCTGCCCTGTCCTGAGCCAGTCTCACTGATTCTGACACACCACCCCCTTTGCCCCCATTACTGTGTCAATCTTTCTCATCCAGGGTCTTCCTCTCCTGCATTATCCCTCCACCCTTCCAAGCATGATGTCCTTCTCCAAGTACCTGTCCCTCCTAGATGTTAGCTGCTGTGACATTGGTTCCAACTCACAGTAGCCTTGGAAGCAACCAACAATCAAGCTCACCGGGCAGCCGCCTGACCACCCCTCCTGTCCAGGGGTTTCCCCCTTTTCACTGGCCTTCTGCTTCCCTTGTAGGGGAGGGCAAAAGTTGTTCATACGGGTCCCCATGAGTCATGGGCGACACAGTGGCATCTAACAAGACCTACAAAGCATCTCCAGGGAGTGGCCCCTCTTAGTCAAATGTCCAAAATACATGATGCAAGGTTTTCATCATCTCTCTTCTAAGGAAACTTCACACTGGACTTCTTCCAAGATAGACTTGTCGGTTCTCCTGGTTATCGTGTTACAGATTCTGTATTCTTTGATCCAGCCATGCTCACTGCCATTGAGTTGATTCTGACTCGTTCTTTGACCTAAAGGCCCACAAATTTGTTATATTGGCTTCTCCACCTTCTTCTCACCCCATCTAGACCGGAAATGTTTTCCCTCACCTCAGGAAGTTCCAGCACACCTCCCTGCCACACCAGTTGGCCTCACCCTCCCTCAGCACTCCAAAACAGCTCTGTGGATCCCTCTTGCACCTTCCTGTACCCCCATAACCTGTCAGGGAGATGCCATGACTGCCCTTCTGGCCAGCATCAGTCCTCTGGTCAACTCAGTGACGTTCTGACCACCACCAGGCCCTTATAGAACTCTCCCCACATCCTGTGGAGCCTCAGGGACTTAGTCCCTTTAGGCCCCATGAGCTCTGGTGGCTTAGTGGTAAGGAATTGCACTGCCAACACAAAGGCACTCAGTTCAAGTCCACCAATTGCTCCACAGGAGAAAGATGGGTCGGTTCCTCCCATGCAGTTTACTGGAGGGTCAGCTGTGGCTCTCAGCTCCAGCTCGATAGTAAACAAGAGTGGTGGTAGACGTGACTCCTCAGGACCTGTGGGAACAGGCTCCACTCTGGGGACACTGGGGCCTTTCAGCTCTGGCCTTGGAAATTGCACCGCTTCTGTCCACCCTTCCTCTCCCCCACACCACTGCACTCTGTCAGCCGGCCCCTCCCTGAGACGCGTCTCCCAGCTGCCCTGGTCGATGATTCAGCCTTCCCCTCACTCCATGGCAGTGACTTCACTCTAAGCAGCACTGGAGTCGGCTGGGCCTGCTGCTTCACTCCTGCAGGGAAGGGATAGGGCTCTCAGTCACCTCTGTCACCCCTCAGCACCCAGGGCACTGGACAGAAAGGGAGTACTGCAGACCCAGGCTTGACTCCTGGCTTCCCCACTCACTCAGCCCTCAACCTCAGAGTCCACATCTTAAAAATGGAGATAATTCTGTGACTTCATCCATAGCCACTGGTGAGAGTCAGCGCCCAGAGCCATCAAGGGCTTTAAGCTCGTTGCCCACTGCTGCACTGCTGTGGTGTGGACAGCTGAAACCCAGGCCCCGACAGGCACCTGGGGGGGGAAAAAAACCCCCCACACTCTACTTCAAGCTCTGCTGGAGTCCAAGGAGGGGCAGTCTCCTGTACCAGTCAGATCCAATTTGATGGTACACACACACACACACACACACACACACACACACA